ACGAAAGCAGCTGCCTTGCTCAGTGGACATATTTTCTGTTCCACTGGAGTCAATGGAAACACCTTAACCGACACTGCCGCAGGCATGCACAGGGCTGGGGTATACAAATGCTTTGCCAAGGGCAAAGAGGATGAACAAATGCACACTACAGGCAATAACTAACCTCACTAAAGCAGCAGATGGAAAACAAAAAGTTTATCCCACTCGAAGAATGAGTTCAATCTCCTGGATTCCAAAAACCTGCATCTACCCTGACTGCCAGCATTGCTGTAGCTGGATCAGGCAACCACACCATCACAAGCTTTATTAAATATTTCATACATGGATAAGTATAGAATATTGGTTTCACGACTTCATCAAGTATTTTTTCCCCCCACAAAACCCCTTTATCACCCAGTATTGAGAACGGGTATCAGGAAACGCACAGCCGCTTAGTAAATGATGCTCTTATTCATGAGATCATGGTCTCACCTACTGCAGAAAACAAGAAGCACCCAGGAACAAGGCAGGCCAGTGTAAGGGCATTTGTTATAGAAGTGTCCTGAAGATCAGCAGAAGCTCGCTCTTCCAGTGATCTGTCACAAATGAGGTCACATATCTTTTTTTTAAAAATCAAAACGTAATCAGTATTTCAGTCTAGTAAGTGACTTTTAAAAATTCCTTTCATCTAACCTTATACCTGTTAATACAGTGGTACTGCTGTTAATAATATTATTTGAAAATCTGAAAACAAACTCTTTACTGCAGTGGGTGGTGGGAAGGAAAGACAACTTCTAGAAGACAGTATTTTCACTTGGGCTGTGGTAGTTTCCCTTGAATTCCGGTATAATGCAAGAAACAAGCACCTGGTAACGAGAGGTAAGGCAGCAGCACGCTACAGGTCCAGTCCTGACTCTTCCAAGGAGTATCAGGCCACGCACATATAAACCAGAAACCCTTCAGACTGCTACTGTCATCTTACATTTCAGCTGCTCAGCCACAACAATCATATTACAAAAAAACCTCAACAGCTAGGGTGTACAAAACTGCTAAAACCAGAATTCAACTACAATTATTAACCAGAGGCAGTCCACATGAAAAAAAACCCTACTGATTTCTACAAACTTCATAGCTTACTGATAATACTTCATCTGCATTACCCATACAGAATGATAGCTCATTTTCATTTTATCTAATATTATATCTTCAGTATTAAATTAGAGGGCACATATGGATCCATCTGGGAAAAAGCACTTCAATTGTAATGAAGAAAACCCCTTTTCTTAAATAAAATTGAAGGGGGGTGGGGTGGGGGGTGGGGGGAAATTATCAACTAGACCTAAATACTGTTCCATGGCTACTACATGCCTCCATGCACCCCACAGTCAGCAAAGTAATTTACTTGTATGATTTCTACCGATACACAAAAGCAGCTAAAGCAAAGAAGAAAAACCATTTGGCTCTTGCTTGCAATAAGATCAACTCAAACTTCCTGTGTTTTTCAGCTATAGCTTGTAAGCTCTGTTAAACACCTGGAAAAGTAAAGTTCCTTTACAGCTGCCTGCATATGTAATTAATGCATTTGACAAGCTGCTGTGCTCCCAAACAGCTGCTTCCATTATATGGACAACTTTACCATCTGCAAAACTATTGGGTAAACTACAGCAAGTAAATATCAGGATAGCAGGTGCTAATAAATAACAAGCCCTGCCAAGATAACAGACTTCTGTAAGGAAAGTTTTCATTTTTCCTACTGTACTTTTCTGTACCCCTGGAGCCGGGAAACTTAAGAGGAACTAGTGTTGTGACTCACAGGAGCAGTAAAATAAGGTTTGGGGCAAATATCTCTGAAATCACAATTAAATGCAATTAATCTCTACTGCACTAAACCAAAGAGTTAGGTCATTAAATTTGCACCTAAAAATGATTCTCCTCACAACATATAACCAGCCACAGCTACACATATTAAAAGTGGTAAATAAAACAAGCTGAAAAGTGTCAGGTAAGTCTAATCTCCTATGTTAACATTCATATCTTAAAATTTTCTATTTATGCCTGTGAGCATGATCTTCACTGCACTTCCCACCCAGCACTGCGACTTAACCCAAAAAGCTTGTCCATGCATCCAAGACCAGATCAAAACTGGGCATTTGCTTGACCCAGCATCAAAACAAAGCTGCAAATATAAGTAACTGTTCTAACACCCTGTATCTCATGAACCACAAGGAATGATGATTAATACCCCCTCAGTTGAAACGTAAGAAAACAAAACTAAGCAAGCTATTACTTGTGCAACCAATTTTGCCAGAAAGAGTCCAAAAGGTAGATATGATCCACCTCCAGATTTACAAAACTGCTTAAGTTTTAGGTACATTCATACACTAAAAAAAAAAGAACCAATTTGGTAGTACTATGCTTTAAAGAGCTTCATGTGGTTTATGGTATTTGGAAGGTTACTGTCACTATATTCTCCAAAAACTGGCTGAGACAATAATTTCCAAAGCAGAAATACTGATATAAGTGGACCAACTAAAAACCGCAGCTTTTAAACAGACTATTATATAGGGTAACTTTTGAAGTGCTGGGGTTTTTTTGGTTTGGGTTTTTGGTGTTTTGGGTTTTTTTAAGAGTTACCACTTCAGACCTCTAATTGTTCTTTCAATTTTAGATAAAAAAATAATGGAAAGATTTTTTTTTTAAATATATAGTAGTATGTATAGCGCTTTCATATACTGAACAATAATTTGCTTCTCATGAGATAGCCCAGCTATTACTACCAACCTTAATAATCCCTGTCCTAGAAGCTACTACTACCAGCCTCCCCATGTTTTAAAAACAAACAAAATGCACTGAAACATGCAACACAAAGTCTGTGTACTCATTTTCCCTGTATTTCATTGTCATCCTTTTTGAACTGCACCGTAGCCCCGAAACTGCTCCATCTATCCTCCCCTGGCAGCCGTGTGGCTATTCATGCCATCAGTAATGCATGAACAATCAAAGAGAGAGGAAAATGCCCTTATCTCAGCTCATCAAAAATACAAGCAAGCAAGCCACAAAGGGATCACAAATTAAAAATTAAATGCGGACAGACATAAAGTGTATTGACACATCACCACATCTAAATCCTCCCTTCGAAGCAACAGAAAACACCAGACACACATAGTAAAAACAGAAGGCAGCCAAAAGATGTAATGAAATAACACTTATTCAAGAAGCGTATTTAGCAATGAAGAATTAAGCAGCAATATACACATGTATCAATAGGCTCTTTGCTGCTCCTGGTAAATCCAGCAGCTAATACCCTCACACAAGCAACACATCTGCTGTTAGAAACAGGGGCAACCTATCCATGCCTGCTGGTTACTGCAAACCCTAGAAAGGGTGCTAGTAAAGTTCAGAAGAACCATTAGGTAGAAAGTAGCTATTTAAATACAACTTAAACAGTATCTTTTATTTTAGCTGTAAAACGGAAGTCAAAGACAATAGAGACAAAAGAAAAATAATAGTTTTTCTCCTGGAACATTTAACTGTGTATATGAGTGCATAGGATGCTAAAACCTTCTGCTTTCTGACATCAGAACCCAGTATTACAAAAAACTGCTCTTCAAAGCTCCGTAACACTCTAAGTTAATAAAAAACTCCATTAGAACAACTCTGACAAAGCTATTTCATTACTAGCTCAGTATACTCTGATAATAACCTAAAGAAGTAATTAAATCACTGAAGATTTAACTGCATTACAAGTTTAGAAGTTTTCATGTAGAAATGTTAGATGGTTTTATGTTTTTCTGGAAGTAGCAAATGAATTATTTTTTCTTCAGTGCCAATAATCTGCTGCTAACAGCAAGAAACACAAGCAAATGTGAAACATTTTCTCAATTAATCAATCGCTACTTAAAAATCCTTCCTGTCCCCCATTTTCCAACCATACCAAATTTCTCTCAATGCTGAATTCTACTGATTTTAAAAGATGTTAACACATGTTTGTATTCTGAAAAGCGACTGTACAAACATCATTGTGGTACTCATACAAACATTATTGTAGTATTGTATTTTAAATCTGAATAATATTAGATTGGTTGGCTCAATGTATAACAAGAATTTGCCTATGAAGTACTTGTGTAGTCTGAAAGTCTTCCTTGCTCACGTATCGCAATAAATAATTTAAAGTGAAATTGTTTCTTTTAATGCCCTAAATATTTTCAGATTTATTATTCTTGCTTACTCCTGCTGTCTTGTATAAGGCTGTTAAAAGCTACAACTCTGGAATCTCTCACTAGTAATAATCGTCACAACAAATGAATCCATCTTTTACATTTTGTAACAGCTTATAGTATTTCAAAGAATTTTAAGAAAGCTTTTAAATATGTATTCATTTAAATATTTCCATAAAAAGTAATAACCATGCTCAAAAAATTCAGGATGGGAACAGGCAACCTGAAACATAATGGTGCTCAGACAGAGACCAGTAATAATTGCAATTATGCAATGTTTACTTATTTAACAAAATCACATGTGAGGAAAGGAGTATTTTTGACCCACAAGTAGACTATATTCAGAGCAGAGAAGGAAAGATACCTATCCAATTTCCGTCTCTAGATATAGTCAGCATACAGGTTTATGGAACTGAATTATGCTCACGAGAAAGAAGCTTCTTTCAACAAAAAACAATTTTTTAAAAATGTAAAAACCTGCATTATCTGCCTTTTTTTTTAACATTAATTAAAATTCAATGCAATATATACAATCTGAGAACACTAGGCACGCTAAAGCTGGGGAATACGAAGTTACTTCTGAGACCAGGTGCAAATGTTTTTTAGCAGCAGCAAATGGTATGGAAAGGCATCAAGATTTCTGACGATGACAACTTCCCTATATGTTTCTTTCCCAGAAATAGGTTTGGAGATGACATAAGCTCTTGATTCTCTGCTCTAATATCCCAGTGCCCTCTGCTACAGTGTTTACCGCCAGATGCAAGGACGCAATGTATTTTTATATCTACATAAGATGCTAAACAGCTAACATGGGATGGTCACATTCAAAGAGTTGCGGTCAATGGCTTGGTGTCCAAGTGGAGACCAGTGACGAGTGGCATTCCTCACAGGTTCGTACTGGGACCGGCACTGTTTAACATCTTTGTCAGCAACATGGACAGGGGGATTTGCACACACCCTCAGCAAGTCTGCTGGTGACACCAAGCTGCGTGGTGCAGTCGACACGCTGGAGGGAAGGGATGCCATCCAGAGCGACCTCGATGGGCTTGAGAGGTGGGCCTGTGCAAACCTCATGAAGTTCAACAAGGCCAAGTGCAAGGTCCTGCACATGGGTCGGGGCAATCCCAAACATAAATACAGGCTGGGCAGAGAATGGATTGAGAGCAGCCCTGAGAAGAAGGATGTAGGGGTTTTGGTTGATGAAAAGCTCAATGTGACCCGGCAATGTGCACTTGCAGTCCAGAAAGCCAACAGTGTCCTGGGCTGCATCAAAAGAAGCGTGACCCACAGGTCAAGGGAAATGATTCTCCCCTTCTACTCCGCTCTCTGGAGCACTGCGTTCAGCTCGAGGGCCCCCAACGTAAGAAGGACATGGACCTGTTGGAGCGGGTCCAGAGGAGGGCCATGAAGATGATCTGAGGGCTGGAGCACCTCTCCTATGAAGACAGGCTGAGAGAGTTGGGGTTGTTCAGCCTGGAGAAGAGAAGGCTCCAGGGAGACCTTACAGCAGCCTTCCAGTACCTGAAGGAGGCCCACAGGAAAGCTGGAGAGGGGCTTTTTGCAAGGGCATGTAGTGACAGGACAAGGGGTAATGGCTTTAAACTGAAAGAGGGTAGATTGAGGTGAGATATAAGGAAGAAATTCTTCACTCTGAGGGTGGTGAGCCACTGGAACAGGTTGCCCAGACAAGATGTGGATGCTCCATCCCTGGAAGTGTTCAAGGCCGGGTTGGATGGGGCTTTGAGCAACCCAGCCTAGTGGAAGGTGTCCCTGCCCATAGCAGGAGGGTTGGAACTAGGTGATAAAGGTCCCTTCCAACCCAAACCATTCTATGATTATTCTGCTTGGGAGTTAACACCCCCTTTGAAAAACAAGGGCACACCTCAGTATCGCAGAGAAGTCTCCTCTCAATCAAAGCACCATTTTTACCCTTAAAAGTACATTACATTACATACAGTACATTACATATTATGCTTCTCAACTTCACAACAAACTCAACAATTTTGGCAGTCTCAAACACTCAAAGGTCTGCTATATCACAAATCAAACATTCTCTACAAATATACAACTAAATTACATTGATGTATTCTCTTACCTTATTTGACCATTTGTAGGCTTGAAGAAGTTGGCTGTAAAGAGGTGTCTTGTCCTGAACAGGATCTAGACTCAACAGTCCACTATTGTGCAGGGGATGATTCTCAGACGGTTTACCAACTAGGTTGCTCAGACGCTCCAGTTCACTGAAAGAAAACAGAATAGCATTGTTTTTAAAGTCAGATCTGCAGACACAGGTATCTGAGATGTACAACCCTCCTGCAGGGACAGCAATCATGCATGAACTCAAATTTAGTATCTGTGTGAGTTTTAAATACCTGCCAAATTCGATTTAAAAAAACCCAACTTAATCACTGTCATTACCCAAGCAATTCAAAGTGGTCTGTTAGTCACCAAGCTCAGTGCTTCTAGGGAGAGAAAGTACAAGTCAAGAATCTTTGTAAGACAACCTGGAAAGATTCAAACTATGGTGGGTCCTGTTCACAAGCACTTCCAGAATCCAGGGCGTCTTCTGAGCAACGCACACCCTCAGAAACTTCAAAATTCTGACTTGAGCATTGGCTGCAAAAATATTTCTAGTATTTTACCCATCAAGCAGGCAGATGCCTCACCATTTCATGAAAGATCTAGAAATTAAAATTGTCCCCATATAAATATATAGAAGAACTTGCATTAGTCCTGAGCCTGGAGATGGTCCTGCAAAGTCTGTGATTACCTTCAGCAAGTATACACATTCCAAGTTCTCAGGGCAATGAAGCATCTTCTGTTTTCCACGTGCAATCTGCACATTTCTAGATGCCTATAAAAGACTCAACTAAAGCACAGTAAGCACACTTTTCCCATGAAAAAAAGCTCACTGTGAAATGATCTATTATTGCTTCATATCTCATTTGTCAGACACTACATTTAATAATAACAAAAGTTAAGCAATTTTTAAAACTTGTATTAATCAGCTGTGGAAGACTGGCTACTTTGCACAGACATAAACAGCAGTTTTTTAAGTGACATGACTAATCAGGTGCCTTTGCTTTTGACTTCTGACTGTTACATCCTACTCTGAACTTCGGAACTTCCACTAGATTAAAAGCAGGATTTAGACCCTTCAAAGGGTGACTTCTGAAAATCTCTGTAAAGAAAAATCCCAAATAGCTCAATTTGCATTTAATGAAGGTTACAAAAATAAGCTCCATCAATCAGGGAACTGACAGTTAAGAGACTTCCTCACTTTACTACCACAAAATTCTCCTTTATTAATCACCATTCCTTCAAGCTCCCATGGCCTACATTCTTTCTAAGCCTCTGGTGCTGTGAACAATCATGAATGAGCTTAATATTTTTTGACAAAAGAATCCAATAAAATAAATGTGAATAGACATAACAACTAAGGATTTGTTGAACAGGGATCCCAGTCAATACTTTTACAACGTGAGCCAAAGTCCACTGATACAGTTAACTTCAATCCATCTTTGAGTATTCCCTTGCTACTTGAAATCTGTGCTTACCAAACATGTAACAGAACATGTAACACTTAGATGCTATACAAATTACAATATTTGGGGGCAATTACGTTTCAAAAAAGACAAATTAAATATACTCCAAAATATTAAGAAAAAGGTATCTTGCAAGGAATCAGGAAATAAATGGTCACTGATAAGCGCATCCACTAATGGTGCGGAAGAGAGCGTGAAAAAGGAACCGGTGAAGTTTGGTAATGAAACTACTCTCAGGTACGGCAGTAAGGACAGGGACTGACCGCAAAGAATCACACAAGAACTTTGCAGCACTGAAATACTGCATGATAAACTCCAAAGTAGGGGAGTGTAAAATACTACACACAAGACAAGATAGGTCAGAGCCAATTGCTATCTATTATTGTTTGGGAACAAGATTTCAGGGTTGTACTAGGTAATTCTTTAAAAAGCTACCACGCAAGACAAGCAAGATGATCAAAGGCACGGCACAGCTTCCATGTAGGGAATCATGAAGCCTCCTCACCTTCAAAACAATACAAACCAAAGGGGTACAACAGAAGTCTATAAAGCTGTGTACAACATCATTCATAAGAATGATTATTTACCATCTTTCCCCATAGAAGGGAAGAAGTAGGTAACAATTTATATGACCACAATCAGAACTAAAAATCAGCAAGGCCTATCAGCCAGCAAGAAGCAAATTCTTGTACGCAAGGCCCTGAACCCTAAATCTCAGGAGGCCAGAAGATGTGCTGGGAAAGGGTGGTTATGAGCATGCCCTGCCCTTGGACACCTCCCTGGGCAGCACTGATGGCTCCCAGGAGGACACAACTGCACCCAACAGTCCACAGGATCCACACGGACCATCAGCCTCAACAGTTTGTCTCTACTTACCTGAAACACACCTGCTGGCACTAAACAACTATACTGAACGCGTAATAACGTTCCAGCCTTACAAGTTTTGGTAATAAAATGGTCATTCTTGAACCGCTTGCAAGCAACTGAATAGTCAGAGCCTAAAAAGTGATTATTTTTGATTTTTTTGTTTTTAAAAACTTCAGAAAACAGAGAAAAATCTCTCTGCAACCAAAAGCATTCCGCTTGCCAAGGCAATCCCACCGACAGCTCCTTTTTTAAAACAAAACAAGAACAAAAACCAGGTAACCATTACGAGCAGCACTCATCCCTTTAGAGGCTCTGGAATGAAACACCACGGAGGCATAACGCGCACGATGCTGGAAGGAATAAACCGCAGCGTTTTCGCATTTATTTGCCTAAAACTTTCTCCGGGAGTGGAATCGGCGCCGCCGGGCCCCTGCGAGGGGACAGGCCCGGGGGGG